TATCTCCGTAGATCGCAGTATGTAGATCTGTCTATATGGCTATTAACAGGGACCAGTCGTAGCTAGTCGGTGAAATACTGACCATGAGAAGAGGTGCTGTATTATGGGGCATCGAGTGCGGGAATCATTCAGCATTCAGATGACTTTCACATTCCTCTGTATCTTCAGTTCTTAGACGCTCAGTGAAGAAGAAGGTTGGGTAACTTTCTTCCATTTGTAACAATCCAGGGCGTGTTCTTGCAAGATGTCTCCATTTCCAACTATCCTTTCATCTACGGCATATACTGCACTTACTCTAGCATCGTCGAGATCCTTCTTGATCATATCTCGCCAGTTCTTCTCAGACGCTCCACATGACCGCTTATCTTGAGCTTGGCACTACACTCCCACTGTTTTCCTTATCAACAATCCCGTGGGCTCCTCAGTACGTGTCCACACCATTGTAGACGCTGCTCTCCACTCTTCAGCTGGAAGGACAGACCACACTGACTTAAATTAGCCTCTACTCTCCGCTATCAGTGACGCGCCTTCAACTTCAAGCATGGTCTCCACTGTTCCGTTCACGAGCCCTTTCACGACGACCTTTATCGCTGGAGGAAAGTTACGGAGGGAATAGGGTTGGAGAGTGAAGAGTGGGTACGATGTAGCGATGAAAATAGAAAGATGAAAATCGATAGAATCACTCTCATTCCATTCGACAGTAGCGTCAACTACGGGTGACCGGCGGAAGAAAGTAAGTAGAGTCGATTTGTAACCGAGCTCTCGCAAATGTGAAGCACGAGCAAGAAAACTGTAGGGGGGGGGGGCTATCGAGTAGACACCAGAAGAGGAATTTAAGAGCTCTGTCCCATTTCTGAATACGATTGTCGAGATATCGAAGATCAGCTGAAGCGGCCATATTAGTCGATATTGTCACTACAGCAGCAACAATCATCTATTGATTTCCATGAAAGGTTGAGAAAAGGCTAAGACCACCAACGGCCCTATGATCCGGAATCTTTAAAAAGACGAGGGGACTGCCCAACTCTTTCCGTTGAATACATCGAAAGGATGCGGTGACGATTGAAAAAGGCTCGAAAAATTCGGTCATGACAAGGCCAGCGGTGATTCTCGTGCGATGAAAATACTAGCAGAGATGGGGAACAGCAAAGCCGGGGAAGCAGTTTTCAGAACCGTCAAGGCTACTTGCTTATTACCTTGGAAACAATGTGAACAATGGGGTGATATCTCGAATTCTACCGTTGCAACATAGTATGGAGCATGGCGAGAGGAAAAGTAACTTTTAGTTTCCATAAGACATTTCTTATAACATGAATAGATGAGCGAAAGGAATAAGAAGGGTATTGGCTTTGCTCTTCCTGTTGCTCAGTCCCAAACAGTACGCACAAATCCACCGCAAAAAAACCGCAGTAATGCCTGAAGCCCATAAAAAATCCGATAATAGCTAAATCCGTTGGGATGTACGCATCACGCTGTTTTGTTTGCAAACCCTCACCTTCCCAGAGACAATTGCGACCTTGTCCTTCTACTCAAAATAACCCATGGTATCTAATGTTTTCCTATGTTAACAGAAAGGCGGAAGGTGGGCAATTACACTGCGCATAACGAAAAGCGAGCATCCCGCCACCTACACCTTAGAGTAACAACCACTTCCTCAGCACTTTTGATTCAACCCTTTTGATTTACTCTATTTTGTCCTTATCGGTCTGCTGCACTGCGAAAAAACAGTTGTTAAAAAAGTGAGTTATTGCCTACAGTGACAGCTTTTTTCAAATTTCGAGAGAATGCCCCGGTACCCTGTCATTTTTGCACC